TTCCTTGATTTTTTGGATTTTCGTTTTTCTTGGAATATTTTTAATATTTTAGATTTTTTTGATTATTTGGATTTTTTTTTTGATATGTTGGATCTTTCGGATCTTTTGGATTTTTTGGACGGTTGGAAATTATAGGATTTCTTGGGTTTATTAATTTTTGGTTTTTTAAATTCTTTGATTTTTTGGATTTTCTTATTTTTTTGGATAGTTTCAATTTTTTTGATCGTTGACTTCTCGAGTTACTTGGATTTCGTGGGATTTTTTGTATTTTTATAATGTTTTTGGATTTCTTGAATTTTTTGTATCATTTGCATGTTTTTGAAATTTTTGGATTTCTTTTCTTATGCACTTTTTGGAGTTTTTGAAATTTATGGATTTTTTTTATTTGCTGGATTTTCTAGATGTTTTTTTTTCTTTCGAATTTTTTGGATATTTGGGACTTTTTGGAAGTTTCAAGCATTTTGAACGTTTTTGATTCTTTGGATTTTTCGGATTTCTTGCATTTTTTGTATTTTCTGGATTTTCTGGGTTTTCTGGATTTTCTAGACTCTCTGGATTCTCTGGAGTTCCTGGATTTTCTAGATTTTTGGAATTTTTTGTTTTTTTGGGTTTTTGGGGTTTTTTGAATTCGCTGGATTTTTTGGATTCTTTGAATTCCCTGAATTCTTTGGATTTTTTAGATTCTTTGGTTTCTTTGGATGCTTTGGATTCTTTGGATTCTTTAGATTCTTTGGACTCTTTGTATTCTTTGGATTCTTTTTTTTTTGGGATATTTTTAATTTTTTGGATTTTTAGAATTCTTCAATTTTTTGGATTTTTAAAATTCCTTGATTATTTGGATTTTTTTTGATATGTTGGATCTTTCCGATCTTTTGGATTTTTTGGAGGGTTGGAAATTATAGGATTTCTTTGGTTTATTAATTTTTTCGTTTTTTTGGATTTTCTTATTTTTTTGGATAGTTTCAATTTTTTTGATTATTGACTCCTCGAGTTACTTGGATTTCGTGGGATTTTTTGTATTTTTATAATTTTTTTGGATTTCTTGAATTTTTTGTATCATTTGGATGTTTTTGAAATTTTTGGATTTCTTTTTTTATGCACTTTTTGGAGTTTTTGAAATTTGTGGATTTTTTTTATTTGTTGGATTTTCTAGATGTTTTTTGTCTTTTGGATCTTTTGGACTTTTTGTCAGTTTCTGACATTTTGAATGTTTTCGATTTTTTGGATTTCTAGGATTTCTTGCATTTTTTTAATTTTCTGGATTTTCTGGATTTTCTACTCTCTGGATTTTTTAGATTTTCTGGATTCTCTGGAATTCCTGGATTTTCTAGATTTTTGGAATTTTGGAATTTTTTGAATTTGTTGGATTTTTTGGATTCTTTTGATTCTCTGAATTCTTTGAATTCTTTGGATTCTTTTTTTGGGATATTTTCCATTTTTTGGATTTTTAGAATTCTTGAATTTTTTGGATTTTTAAAGTTCTTTGATTCTTTGGATTTACGTTTTTCTAGGAATATTTTTTAATATTTTGGATTTTTTCGATAATTTGGATTTTTTTTAAATGTTGGATTATTTATTCTTTGGATCTTTTATATCTTTTGGATTTTTTTGACGGTTTAGAATTATAGGATTTCTTGGATTTATTAATTTTTTGGTTTTTTAAATTCTTTAATTTATTTTTGGATTTGCTTAATTTTTTGGATAGTTTCGATTTTTTTGATTGACCTCTTGAGTTACTTGGATTTCGTGTTTTTTTTTGTATTTTCATAATTTTTTGGATCTTTTGAATTTTTTGTATCATTTGGATTTTTAAGTCTTTTGCACTTGTTGACCTTTTGGACTTTTTGAACTTTTTGGATTTTTTTATTTTCTGAATTTTCTAGATGTTTTTTGTTTTTTGGATCTTTGGATTATTTTGGACTTTTTGGAAGTTTCAGACATTTTGAACGTTTTGGATTCTTTGGATTTCTCGGATTTCTTGCATTTTTTGGATTCTTTTGATTCTTTGAATTCTTTGCATGCTTTGGATTCTTTGTATTCTTTGGATTTTTGATTTTTTGGATTTTCGTTTTTCTTGGAATATTTTTAATATTTTGGATTTTTTGAATTTTTGGATTTTTTTTTGATATGTTGGATCTTTTATTCTTTGGATCTTCAGATCTTTTGGATTTTTTGGACGGTTTAGAATTATAGGATTTCTTGGATTTATTAATTTTTGGTTTTTTAAATTCTCTAATTTTTTTTTGTATTTGTTTAATTTTTTAGTGTTTCGATTTTTTTGATTGACTTCTTGAGTTACTTGGATTTCGTGTTTTTTTATTTTTATAATTTTTTTGGATCTTTTGAATTTTTTGTATCATTTGGATTTGTAAGTCTTTTGCACTTTTTGAACTTTTTTTTTATTTTCTGAATTTTCTAGATGTTTTTTGTTTTTTGGATATTTTGAACTTTTTGGAAGTTTCAGACATTTTGAAAGTTTTGGATTCTTTGAATTTCTCGGATTTCTTGCTTTTTTTGAATTTTCTGGATATTTTGGATTTTCTGGATTTTCTAGATTCTCTGGAATTCCTGGATTCTCTAGATTTTTGGAATTTTTAGTTTTTTGGGTTTTTGAGATTTTTTGGATTCTTTCGATTCTCTGAATTACTTGAATTCTTTGGATTTTTTAGATTCTTTGGATTCTTTGGAATACCGAATAATTGGGACATCCAAAAATTGTAAAAATGTAAAGCTGAAAAATTATAAAAGTGTAAAATCGAAAAATTGAAAAATTGGTTACTTTTAAAACGAGAACCTCTAAAATAATTAAAATGAAAAATCAGAAACTTGAAAAATAAAAATTGAAATTTTGAGCAATACAAACTCAAAAATTTAAAAATTTGTGAAATTGTAAACTTGAAAAATTGGATAATTGTATAAACTGAAAAATACAAAAATCACAAAATTTAAAAATAGAAAAATTGCGAAATTATGAAATTGAAAATTAGAAAACTTGAAAAATCGAAAATCGAAATTTTTTAAAACTAAAAAGCCAAAATTGGAAAGTTGAAATAATAAATTGGATTACAATCAAAAATTTAAACGAACAATCAAAGGATTTCAGAACCGAAAAATTGAAAAATCTAGAAACCGGAAAATTTGATAATTGAAAAATATAAAACTATAAAACTAAAAATTTGCAAAATTACAAAACTTAAAAAGCGTATAATTTTAAAATTGAAAAATGAAAAACTGATAAATCGAATACCTTTAAACACGAAAAATTGTAAAATAAACCGAAAAATACAAAGTTTGAAAAATTAAAGTCTAAAATATGGATAATTAAAATTCAAAAAATTGAAAATTTGTGAATTACAAAATTAAAAAAACGGAAAATTGCGACCTATAAAATTCCAAAAAATCAAAAATTTGAAAAATTAAAAATCGATATTTTAATAAATTAAATATCAAAAACTGGAAAATCGAAACAATGAAAGTCGGATAAATGAGAAATAAAAAATGTATTTATTGAAAAAACCAAAAATTTTAGGAACGAAAAATTACACAATTGAAAATTTAGGAGTTGATTCATTAAAAACCGAATACATGACTGAAACATCCAAAAATATTAAAAATATAAAAGCAAAAAAGTATAAAATTGAAAAATTGGATTCCTTTAAAAACGAAACATTATAGTGAAAATTCAAAAACTCGAAAAATTAAAACTAAAATTTTGGACAATTAAAAATCAAAATATTAACTATAAAAATATAGTGTCAACTGAAAAATAAAAAAATTGAAATATTAAAAATCAAAAAATCGAAGCAATCAAATTCGAATAGTACAAAAAACTTTAAAAAAATTTAAAAACGGAGAATTATCGAATTGATAAATTGATTTATTAAAAGACAAACAGTTGAGAAATCGAAAAATTCTAAAACTATTAAACAGAAAAATCAAAAATCGAATCAATGAAAAAAATCAAAAATTGAATAACTGAGAAAACGAAAAACTTTGAAACGAAGAATTATAAAACTGAAAATTGCAAAATTATTTCAATAAACACCGAATAAAAAAATTGGAAATCGAAATTTTGAAATCTGTATTAAAAATCAAAAAAATTAGAAAATCGAAACAATGAAATCCGGATAATTGGAAGATCAAAATCTGAAAAATCGGATACTTTTAAAAACGAAAAATAGTAAAACAATTAAACTGAAAAAGCATAAATTTGAAAAATTAAAACTGAAATTTTGAATAATTAAGTTGAAAAATTTAGAAATTGATCCATTAAAAAACAGACAATTGAGAAATCGAAAAACCTTGGAAATATGAAGCTAAAAAAGCAAAAAATCGGTCTAAAGTTATTTAGACAGAACTTTCCTCGACACTGGAGTACAATACAACAAATCCAGCCTTCTCGAGAAATTATAAGATTTAATTTACCTTCTGCACGAAACCCACAAGACATAACTTTTGACGACAATCGCCCCAGTAGTTTCGGAGCTTATCTATCAAATAAAAACTGACTGCTTATCCTCAGGAAGTAAATAAATTTTTACATATGCATGTGGTTGTTGTGAGTAGCCGCCAGCGGAAGCCGAAGACATGACCAGTTAGATAAAGCTGCGATTTCCGGACTTTGACACAAGTAAACAGCAGATGACAACCTTCGAAATTAAAAAGCAGCGCTCTAAGCCATATTAACATTCATAATAAGTTTTCCATAACAATTACCTCTTTAGTGTGGTGACCTTGTTGTCAACGTTAGATTCACCTGCTAAACCCTTCGTGGCCAAAACTGATTCGTCACCGGTTACCTCACTCTTGCGAAAACACCGACTTAAGTACTTAAGCCTTGTTTTCGCAAGCCATCCCAACAAATTTTTGTTTTTCCAACAATATATCACGCTCGCGCAACAAATAAACAACACACCACGTGGGCCTCAAACAATCATTGTTGTGAGATTGGGACACTTTAAAAGTCCTTCGCTTTGTCTTAACAGTAAGTCTCTTTCCAGACCATGTGAGAGAGCCCGCTCGAGCGACATGCCCGAGTCCGAAAGCCCCATCGGGCAGTGGCCTCACAGCCTCAGCTCCATGATGGCGTGCCTCGGCTGCACCCTCGGCCTCTTCAACATCTCCCGCTTCGCAGTCCTCACCATCCACTTCGGAGCCAACTTCATTTTCCAGTTTTTCCTGCTGTCGGTGGTGTTCGGGCTGCCACTTTTCACCCTCCAACTCTGCTTAGGCCAGCAGCTGGGGGCCGGCGTCATCGACATGTGGCGCATTTCGCCCCTGTTCCAGGGCGTCGGGGTGGCGCTGCTCATCGCCCAGACCCTCCTGGGGCTCTACAGCATAATCGGCGTGTCCTGGATGTTCGTCTTTTTCCGCGACTCGTTCATCACGAAGATGGATAAATACCGGTGGGCGGAGCCTTTCATCCCCTACAGAGGTGGTACGTATTGTATTCGTATTGATTGCGCCAGTATCGACTAAATTTTTTAATTATTCATTGTAGTTCAAGTCCCGGTGAATGGCAGCTGGAAGTTGACGGAGACGGTACCGGATTACTTCAGCGGGGTGGTGCTGCAGAGGCACCATCTAGCGTCGGGGAGCTCCTACGGGACCATCAAGTTCCAGCTGGCTTTCAATTTAGCGGTGGTGTGGATGATCGTGTTCGTGTCGCTGAGCAAGGGATTGAGGTCCTACGGGAAGGTCATCTACATCTTCACGCTGTTGCCCGTTTTTGGGACGTTCGTGCTGTGTGCGAAGATTTTGGGGATGATGCCCACGGAGTCGATTAATATTATTTTTCCGGAGACGACGTGGAACGAGTTCTTCTTGAACCCGAAGGTACGAAATTGAAAGAGTTGAGTTGTGGTGTTGATGGTGAGTTGCAGAGTTGGTTGGCGGCGGCGCAAGAAACCTTCTTCACGTGGGGGATTCTAGGGACCGCGGTTATGCAGATTGCGTCACACAACAAGCACAAACATCTACTTCAAAGAGATTCTAGTCTTGTGGCTGTAATAACTTTCACGATTTTGCTGCTGGTGGCGTTTTTGGCGAATACGTGTGTCCAGATTCTGCGGTACTACAACTACAACTTCATACCGGACTCTTTTGGTGAGTGCATAGTTGAAAATAATTTTAGTGTATGCTATTTCAAAAAACATACAGCTCTAGTAATTGACTTTTTTTCTTAGTATTAAAACTAGAACTAGAGTTAATGAAATATCGAGGTGACGATAATCGACGCGAACTATTGACATGATTGATTATTATAAATCAATTAAATTTTAAGTTTACTAAAAAATAAAGAGATCAAGTAAATGTGAACCAGTGTTTTTTTAAGTTCGTGTAATAAGGTATACGCTCTGTTTCGAATTTCGAAATCACAAACGAAATTGTATAAAATGTCAGTTATTTGTAAATCCGAGATAACTTATGTAATTGTTGATAGGGTTAAAATAATTCTATAAATTAACAGTTCATCTATAAATTAAAATAATTTTTAAATATGTTTCAATATATTGTAGTTTGAGGACACTCTTTGTTTAATTTGAAGATACTTTTTTTAAATGTTTATTTTAATATATTCTTTGGGATCAGAAACATTACAATAATAAACACATTTCTAAAAAAATACGTGATATTTAGCAAAGATTTTTTTCGTGATAATAAATGAGCTTTGGGTGAAATAATTACAAAATTTGTTTTAAAAAATCTGTGTAAAACAAAAATTTTAATGTGAAAAGTAGCCGGGTAAAAATATTTTTAGGGGAAATTCAAAGCGTTTCTAAATTTTTCTGAATATGCACAATACAAAGGGATTTTCTTGTGCATGTTATAGCCTTTCAAAGTTAATTTTTCTTTTCGAAATTTCACTATATTTTATTTCACTATTTTGTGTTGGCGACTTTCATTATCTAAAATAATTTTCGAGGTATCTTGTCTTTATCCATCGTATTGTTCAGTTTACAAATTTTTTGAGGACTTGAGAATTTTGATATTCTGAGGATTTGAGGATTAAGGTGTTCTGAGGATTTAAAGATTCTAGTGTTCTGAGGATTTGAGCATTCTGGTGTTCTGAAAAGTTGAAGATTCTAGTGTTCTGAGGATTTGAAGATTCTGGTGTTCTGAGGATTTGAGGATTCCAGTGTTCGGAGGATTTGAGGATTCTGATATTCCGAAGAATTGAAGATTATGGTGTTCTGAGGATGTGAGGATAATGATGTTTTGAATATTCGAGGATTATGGTGATCTGAGGATTTCAGGATTATGGTGTTCTGAAGATTTTAGGATAATTATGTTTAGAAGATTTAAGGATTATGGTGTTGTGAGGATTTGAAGATCATGGTGTTCTGAGGATTTGAGGATTATGGTGTCTGAGGATTTGAGGATTCTGATGTTCTAAGCAGTTGAGGATCATGGTGTTCTGAGGATTTGAGGATTCTGATGTTCTGAGGATTTGAGGATTATGGTGTTCTGAGGATTTGAGGATTCTAGTTTTCTGAGGATTTGAGGATTCTGGTGTTCTAAGGATGTGAGGATTCTGATGTTCCGAAGAATTGAAGATTATGGTGTTCTGAGGATTTGAGGATTATGGTGTCTGAGGATTTGAGAATTCTGATGCTCTGAGGATTTGAGGATCATGGTGTTCTGAGGATTTGAGGATTATGGTGTTCTGAGGATTTGAGGATTCTAGTTTTCTGAAGATTTAAGGATTCTGGTGTTCTGAGGATGTGAGGAATCTGATGTTCCGAAGAATTGAAGATTATGATGTTCTGAGAATTTGAGGATACTGATGTTTTGAATATTCGAGGATTATGGTGATCTGAGGATTTCAGGATTATGGTGTTCTGAAGATCCTAGGAGGATTATGTTTAGAAGATTTAAGGATTATGGTGTTTTGAGGATTTCAGGATCATGGTGTTCTGAGGATTTGAAGATTCTGATGTTCTGAGGATTTGGGGATTATGGTGTTCTGAGGATTTGAAGATTCTGATGTTCTGAAGATTTGAGGATTATGGTGTTCTGATAATTTGAGAATTCTGGTATTCTGAGGATTTGAGGTTAATGATGTTTTGAATATTCGAGGATTATGGTGTTCTGAAGATTTCAGGATTATGATGTTCTGAAGATTTTAGGATGATTATGTTTAGAAGATTTAAGGATTATGGTGTTTTGAGGATTTGAGGATCATGGTGTTCTGAGGATTTGAAGATTCTGATGTTCTGAGGATTTGAGGATTATGGTGTTCTGAGAATTTGAGGATAATGATGTTTTGAATATTTGAGGATTGTGGTGATCTGAGGATTTTAGGATGATTATGTTTAGAAGATTAAAAGATTATGGTGTTGTGAAAATTTAAGGATCATGGTGTTCTGAGGATGTGAGTATTCTGATGTTCTGAGGATTTGAGGATTACGGTGTTCTGAGGATTTGAGGATAATGGTGTTCTGAGGATTTGAGGATAATGATGTTTTGAATATTTGTGAAAATTTGTGAAGTTATAAAATTGAAAAGTTCGATAATTGTATAATCTGTAAAACTGAAAAATTGCAAAAATATAAAATTCAAAATGGAACAATTTTAAAATCAAAAAATTGAAGAAACAGATTATCGCATAATACAAAAATCTCAAAATTTAAAATTGGAAAAATTGCGAAATTATGAAATTAAAAATCGAAATTTTGCAAAATTAAAAAACAAAAATTTGAAAATTGTAACAATGAAATCTGGATAATTGAAAAATAAAAAATTGAATTATTGAAAAAACAAAGAATTATAAAACTGAGAATTGGGAATTTGATTAATTAAAACCCGAAAAATTGAAAAATCAAACTGTAAAATGAAAAAGTGAAATTTAAGTTTTGAACAATTAAAAATCGAAAAATTTAAAAATCTAGCAACTGGAAAATTTGATAATTGAAAAATTGATTCAAAATACTAGACAATTGAGAAATCGAAAAATTGTAAAAATATACTGCTAAAACTGAAAAATTAAAAATTTGCAAAATTCCAAACTGATAGATCGTATAATTTTAAAATTGAAAAATCAAAAACTACCGATAAACTCGAAAAATTGTAAAATTTAAACTGAAAAATACAAAGTTTGAAAATTAAGTTGAAATTTTGGATAATTAAAATTCGAAAAATTGAAAATTTGTGGCATTTACAAAATTGAAAAAATTGGATAATTGTAGTTAAAATCGAAACATTATTAAGCTGTAAAAATGGGAAGTTGAAAAATCAAATTGAGAAATCGAATAATGGTAAAACCGAAAAAATCGTAAAACTTCATCATTATGTTGAAAAATCAAGGAATTGAACGATCTGGTAACAATAAAATCAAGAATTGATAAATCTAAGAATTTTGAAACCGAAAAAATTCTAAAATTCAAATATCAAAACAACTAAAAAATGAAAAATGGAGAAATCAAAAAATTGCCAAATTCATTGAAACATCCAAAAAATCTAAAATTTGAAAAATTAAAAACCGACCTTTAAAAAAACAAAGTCAAAAACTGAAAAATCAAAACAATGAAAGTCGAATAAATGAGAAATCAAATATTAAATAATTGAAAAAACGAAAAACTACACAATTGAAAATTTCAAAAATTGATTCAGTAAAAAAAGAAAGATGTAAAATTAAAAAAGTATAAAATCGAAAAATTGAAAAATCGGATTCCTTTAAATACGAAAAATTGAAAATAATTAAACCGAAAATTCAAAAACTTGATAAACTAAAACTGAAATTTTGGGCAATTAAAAATCAAAAATTTTAGAAATGGTAAAATTACAAAATTGAAAAGTTGGATAATTGTAAACCTGAAAATTTATTAAACTCTGAAAATGAAAAATTGAGGGAATCCAAAACCATTGCAAAATTACAGAAAAATGAAAAATTGGTTACCTTTGAAAACGGATTAATAAATATAAAATTGAAAATTGAATAATATTAAAATCGGAAAGTTGAAATCATAGGCAACTGTAAAACAGGAAAATTATAACATTGAAATATTGCGATACTATAAAATTCCAAAAAATCCAAAATTTGAAAAATTGAAAATCGATATTTTGAAAAATTAAAAATCAAAAACGAATAATTATACATAACTGAAACATCCAAAAAGATTAAAAACGAAAAATTGTAAAATATTCAAACTGAAAATTCAAAAACTTGAAAAATTAAAGCTGAACTCTGAACAATTAAAAATAAAAAAATTTAGAAATTGTAAAATTACAAAATTGAAAAGTTGAAAATCATAACAATTGCGAAATTACAGAACTGAAAATTTGCATAATTTTAAAAATGCAAAATTGAAAAATCAGACAATTGTAAAATGGAAAAATTATTACAAAATTGGAAAAGCAAGAAACTGCAAAATTATGACATCGAAAAAGCAAAAACTGGAAAATTGGAAATCGAAATTTTGAAATACCTATGTATTAAAAACCAGAAAATTAGAAAATCGAAACAATGAAATCTGGATAATTGGAAAATCAAAACTTGAAAAATCGGATAGCTTTAAAACCGAAAAATTATTAAATAATTCCACCGAAAGCAAAAATTTCAAAAATTAAAAATGAATCTTTGGACAATTAAAATTCAAAAAATTGAAAATTAGAATTATACAATTGAAAAATTGCATAATTGTAGTTAAAATCGAAACATTATTAAGCTGTAAAAATATAAAATTGAAAAATGATCAAACTGGGAAATCGAATAGGTAATGGAAAAATCGAAAAATTACAAAATCGTAAAACTTGAACATGATCAAGTTAAAAAGTCGGGAAATTGAACCGTCTGATATCTATACAATAAAAAAAAAGTTCTAAAATGCCAATATCAAACAACTGAAAAATCGAGAAATTGTAAAATCTGCAAATTGAAAAATTGATTTATTAAAACTCGGACAATTAATTGAGAAAACGAAAAATTGCAAAAATATGAACCTGAAAAATCGTATAATTTTAAAATCAAAAAATTGAAAATTCGAAAAATTGCAGAATTATGAAATTGAAAATAAAAAGAATCAAATTTGAAGAACTGAAAAATCAAAAACTGAAAAATCGATACCTTTAAAACGAAAAATTATAAAAAATCAAATTAAAAAAATCGAAAAATTGAAAAATCGTGTACCTAAAGGGAAAATCTGATATGTAATTGAAAAATTGACTCATTTAAGACTGAAAAATTGCAAAATTACATCATTGAAACATTGGATATTCGTAAAATCAAAAAACTATTAAATTGCATCCTGAAAAATTGCATAAAATATAAAATTGAAAATCGAATATGTAACATTAAATCGAAAAGTTGAAATTACAGATAATTGTAAAACAGAAAAATTACAAAATGAAAAAATCGAAAGATTACGCAACTATAAAATTCCAAAAAGTCAAAAATTTGAAAAATTAAAAATCAAAAACTGGAAAACCGAAACAATGAAAGTCGGATAAATGAGAAATAAAAAATTCAATAATTGAAAAAAAGAAAAATTATGCAATTGATAATTGAGGAATTGATTTATTAAAAATCGAATACATAACTGAAACATCCAAAAATATTAAAAATGAAAATTAAAAATTGTAGAAATTGGAAAAGTGAGAAACTGCAAAAACATGGAAAATTGGAAATCGAAATTTTGAAATATCCATGTATTAAAAACCAAAAAATTTGAAAATGGAGACAATGAAATCCGAATAATTGGAAAATCAAGACTTGAAAAATCGGATACCTTTAAAAACGAAAAATTGTTAAATAATTAAACCGAAAAAGCAAAAACTTCAAAAATCAAAAATTGAAGCTTTGAACACTGAAAAATTGATGAATTAAAAACCGGACAATTTAATAAATCGAAAATTTGTAAAAATATAAAACTAAAAAATCAAAACATTGCAAAATTATAAAATTGAAAAATTGATGGAAAAATGATATGATTTATTAATTTTGTGAATTTTGATTTTTTTTTTTTTGGAAAAAATGGATATCTCGACCATAAACTACGCGTATGGAAGTCTCTTTTGTTCTAAAATTTAAAACACATTTGCTGTGAGGATTTGAGGATTATGGTATTCTGAAGATTTGAGGATTATGGTGTTTTGCGGATTTGAGGATTATCGTCTTCTGAGGATTAAAGGATTATTACTCATGAAAATTTAGAAACGTATTGATTTTCGCCATAAAACTAACTCTTTCACTTTTTTACTCAAAAATCATTTATTTTCACGAAAAAAAAATTATTAGTAAACACATATTATGAAAAAAAATGTCTATTATTGTTTAAACAATATAGATATTAAATATCTACACGCACCCTTTACAATGTTTCTGATTTCAAATAATACATTAATATAAACATTTTCAAAAAAGTTTTATCAACGCTTTCTACTTGTCCTCGATCTTTTTTTTCTTTTTACAAGTAGAACATTGACATAATTTTATTTCTTTGATTCCCACCAAAAACTCGGTAACAACTTTACAAAGAATTATTAATAGTTCAAAAAGCGAGGTTTTAGTTTTTTCTACATTACATAATCCAGCTTCATCACTCGAAATCGCCCGAAACTGGTGGTCGGGAACCACCCGTACACACAAAGACGACAATTCCACAATTTACTTTTAGAACAAAGTTTTTGAGTTGCTATGAATATAAATTAGGAAACTTGTTACAAAACCCATATTTTTACAATGCAATTCATGATTTCTTCTTCAGAATCAACTTCTTCATACTCGTTCCTGCGCGACAAAAAGGACGCGCTGCCTCCATCTTTGGCCAACACCCCCGTCAAGTACATGGTGCATAATTCTTTCTTCTTGGGCGAGAAAGTGGTTCGACCGGGGGCTGACACCACGCGAGAAAGTGGTTATCAGGTTAGACTCTCCTTGGTTACTAGTACAAGTACAAAAACTAAAAACCGTTTTCAGGCTCTCCGTCTAGCCACCGAACTTCTTCCAGCCACTTTCGCTGCTTTAGGGGCCGACCAAGTGTCCCCTTTCTGGGCTGTGCTTTTCTACTTCATTCTAATCCTCTTCGGCATCGCACAACAACTGGCAATCTGGCACTGCGTCATCACCGGAATCATCGCCATCAAAGCTCAAGTTCTGAAGTCCTGGGAGACGACAATAACGTTGTTCAGCTGCATCTGTGGGTTCCTTTTTGGGCTTCCCATGGCTACAGAGGTGAGTGGACCAATTTTTTGGTTTTTGTTGCTATGGATTGATTTTTGGTAGTTCGGCATCTATGTGGTGTACTTCATGGACTATACAGTTGGAGGGATGTGGTGGCTGCTTGTCATTATTCTCCTTCTTATTATCGCGGTGTTCATGGTACGCGGGCGCCCCTATAGTGGGGATACCGTCGTTACGGCCCTGTTCACACCCAACAACCATCCGTGCATACTTAGCTGGGCCCCGGCTTTACTATCCTTCAACTGGAATGTGATTCTTCCAGTAGCCTTGATGGTAAGCCTTCACTCACTGACACAATGTGGTGGTACTAACTCCAATTCCAGACTTTGTGCATCAGTACCTTCAAGAACGGCAACTTCAGAGAAATCTTCATCTGGCACCATGCCCCGGTGGCGGAGTACTGGCCTCTGTGGGCCCGCCAAATCGGTTCAATGCTCCAGCTAGTACCAATCCTTCTAGTTCCTCTAGTTGCAGTAATCCAAAGCTACAGATACTTGAACAACGGGCCCTCTGACATCCTCGAGGTAAGTCCAGCCACCATATAACCCCTAGCAACAATAACAAAGTCGCTTTCATGCTCGCAAGGAGTACGAAGACCCCTCTAACTACGTTAGTACCCACAAAGACCCCAAAACCCGCCTATTCTAACTTTTTTGTTTTGTAGAGGATCCAACTCTTGTATCGTCCTCCAATCGGCGAGCACATGACTGACTTAGCCGTCCATGACGCCGTGGTGTCCAACAACGTCAGCGCCACGCCGCCGAACTCCACGGCCAACGCCGCCACCGAGGACCCGCCCCCTAAGTACACCCCGCCGCCGTCGTACACCACCGCCACCGGCGCCCGCATCGCCAAGTTCCTCCGGCAGAGCATCCGCAGGAGCGTGCGGCGTCTGGCTAACGTTCTAGGTGAGAGTAGTACCACCCGGCAACGAGGAACTCTACCGGCCCCCAGCCAGCCGCCGCCCCCCGACTACAACGCGGTTCTAGTCGAAATGAGCCAAACCAACAGTACTGACGTATCGATCTCGGTTCCCGCTGCCAGTACTAACAGTACTCCGGTCAGGATCTCCACGCTGGAGAGGCTGCGCAATATTCAGCCTACTCCGGGTTCGCCGACTTTGACGGCGGCGGAGGTGGCGTCGATCTTGCGGACTAGCTTCAGGAGGAGTACCGTGCGGGGGAGGAACTTCAACGAGGACGGTACCGCGTCGCTCAGTGCCGAGAACCTGGTGGATTCGGCGGCGCCGATCGGGGAGACGTCGCTGGTTGTGGACCATTTGCCCGAGTCGGGGGCGGCGGATGTGAAGCGCGAAGCTAACTCGTCTGTGATATAAGTTATTGCGAGGTGGTACCGGCTGTATTTATTCGGACCAAGTGCGTTTATGTAAGCGATTCAAATATCTTTTGCGTTTATTAATTTATTATAGTGACCAAAAGATTTTTTTTTACTTTTGTAACAAATCGTTATGATGTAAAGAACTGATAATATAGGTGTACAAAAATAATCGAATTAAAGTGATCAAACTTACAAGTATGCTTATTTAGAGACCTAGTAGCGACCTTTGAAACGGGGGACGTTTGAAAGGGGCTGCTTACAAAATTACAAAATTGTTAAGTGGTTTGAATTACAAGTGCTCTTGTCGATCCCTGAGCTCTCTTCTCGATGTGAAAGTCATCACGAACGGTTATCGGTTGATGTTCGTGTCGATTGCTACGTTGATGACGTCGTTGCCTAGGAAGTAGTCGGTGGCTACGATGTTGACGTCACGGGCCCACTCGTCCCGGAACCACATGGTCAACTTCCGGTTGACGTCGTTGGCGAGTTTTCTGAGGTTGTTAGTCCTGAATAACAGATCTATGGGTTGAGGGGTCAATTCGGCCATTAGGGCGAACATGGGGTTGAGGGTCACTCGGTGCTCTTTGATGGCCTTCGACAGGAAACTCTTGAGGTTGTCGACGTTCTTGGTGTCCGCCCAGTGTTGCTGGAGAGGTTGCCACAACCAATAGTTTTCTACAAAAAATTGAAAACTTGAAAAATTGACAATCGAAATTTTGAAAAATTAAAAATCGAAAATTTGAAATAATGAAATTCGGTAAACTCAGAAATCAAAAATTGAACCAAACAAAGTGAGAAATTAAAAAATTATAAAAATGTAAACGAAAAATCTTGAATCGAAACAATGAAATTCGGATGATTGAAAAATCAAAAACTGAGTAATTGGAAAAACGAAAAATTTAAAAACAGGAAGAATTATAAAATTCAAAATTGAAAATTTGATTCATTAAAAACCGAATTATTGAGAATCCAAAAACAATGAAAATAAAAAAATTGGAAAATCTGTAAATTGAAAAATTGATTACGAGGAAGTCAAAAAATTCTAAAAAAATATAACAAAATTAGAAAAATCGCAAAACTGCAAAATTATCAAACTGAGAAATCAAAAACTTGAAAAATTTAAAATCGAAATTTTGAAAAATTTAAAAATTGACTCATTCAAAACTTCCATTTATTCATTCAAAAACTGGACAAATGAGCAATCGAAAAACTAAAAAGACAAAACTGAAAAATCAAAAAATTATAAAATTACAAAACTGGAAAAACGTATAATGTTAAAATTGAAAAATTGAAAAATCGAAAACTTGGAGAACTAAAAATCGAATTCTTGAAATATTAAAAATCAAAAATTAGAAAATCGAAACAACGAAATTCAGGTAATTGAAAGTAAAAATTGAAAACTGTGATACCTTTAAAAACGAAACATTTTTTCTAAGATAATTAAATTGGAAAATTATAATCGAAATTTTGGATAATTAAAATTCAAGAAATTGAAAATTTGTGAAAATTTTGGACAATCAACATTCAAGAAATTGAAAATTTGTGAAATTATAAAATTGAAAAATTGATTAATTAAAAACGAATCATTGAGAATCCATAAATAGTAAAAATTTAAAATTGAAAAATCAAAAAACTATAAAATCGAAAAATTAAAAAAAATTAAGCTCAAAAATCAAAATCATGAAAATTTATTAAAGTTTAAAAATAGAAAATTACAAAATTATTAAATTGAAACATTGAATAATTCCAAAACTGAAAAATTGAAAAATCAAGAAATTGGAAAATCTGCTAATTGAAAAACTGATTAATTAAAAATTGAACAAGTGAGAAATCAAAATTTTCTAAAAATATAAAACAAAATTATAAAAATCGCAAAACTTCAAAATTATCAAACGGAGGAATCAAAAATTTGTAAAATTTAAAATCGAAATTTTGAAAAATGTGATAATTGAAAAACTGATTCATTCAAAAACTGGATAAATGAGAAATCGAAAAACTGTAAAGAGAAAAAACTGAAAAATCAAAAAATTTTAACATTACAAAACTGAAAAATCGTCTTAATGTTAAAATTGAAAAATCAATTGTAAAATAAAAAATTACAAAATTCAAAAATCGAAAACTTGAATAATTAAAAATTGAAATTTTGAAATATTAAAAATTAAAAATTAGAAAATCGAAAATTCCAAAACTGGAAAAATTGAAAAATCAAAAAATTGGAAAATCTGCTAATTGAAAAACTGATTAATTAAAAATTGGCCAACTGAAAAGTCGAAAAATTATAAAAATATAAAACATAAATTTAGAAAAATCGCAAAATTGCAAAATTATGATATTGAAAAATCAAAAACTTGAAAAATTAAAAAACCGAAATTTTGAAAAATCTGATTATTCAAAAGCTGATTTATTAAAAACTGGATAAATCGAAAAACTTTTAAAATATAAAACTGAAAAATCAAAAATTGTAAAATTACAAGACTGAAAAATCGTATATTACAAAAATTAGAAAATTGAAAAGTGAATTGTTAAATAGAAAAATTACAAATTTGAAAAATTGAAAAATGGCAGTTATGAAATTTGAAAATCAAAAACTTGGAAAATTGAATTGCAAAATTTCAAATATTAATTCAAAAATTAGAAAATCGAAACGACGAAATTCGGATAATAAAAAAATCAAAAATTGAAAACTATGATATCTTTAAAAAAGAAATACTAAATAATAATTTAATAATAATTAAACTGATAAATGGAAAACTTGAAAAATTGCAGTCAAAATTTTGAGTAATTAATTAAAAACCGAATCATTGAGAATTTAAACATTGTAGAAATTTAAAATTCAAAACCAAAAAACTACACAATCCAAAAATTGAGAAATCCGATACTTCTAGAACCAAAAAATTGTAAAATAATTAAGCTGAAAAATTAAAAACTTGAAAATTTATTAAAGTTTAAAAATGAAAACTTGAAAAATCAAGAAATTGGAAAATTGATAATTGGAAAAACTGACTAGTTAACAATTGGCCAATTGAAAAGTAGAAAAATTGTAAAAATATTAAACATAAATTTAGAAAAATCGCAAAATTCAAACTGAAAAACCAAAAACTTGAAAAATAGAAAAGCGACACTGAAAAATTTGACAGTTGAAAAACTGATTCATTCCAAATTGGAAAAACGAGAAATCGAAAAACTGTAAAAGGATAAATTGAAAAATCAAAAAATTGTAAGATTACAAAACTGAAAAATCAAAAAGTGCGAAAGTTGAATAGCGAATTTTTGAAATATCAAAAATCAAAAATTACAAAATCCAAACAACGAAATTCGGGTAATCAAAAATTGAAAACTAATATAGTTTTAAAAACGAAACATTGTAAAATAATTAAAACGAAAAATGGAAAACTTGAAAATTATAATTGAAATTGAAGATCAAGAAGTTGAAAATTGTTGAAATTACAAAATTAAAAAATTGTATAATCGAAAAATTATTAAACTGTTAAACTGAAAATTTTCAAAACTATAAATTGAACATTGAAAACTTGATTAATTAAAAACGGATTATTGAGAATCCGTAAATAGCAAAAATTTAAAATTGAATAATCAAAAAACTATAAAATCGAAAAATTGTAAAATAATTAAGCTCAAAATCCAAAAATTTTAAAATTTATGTAAATTTAAGAATGAAAAATTACAAAATTATTAAATTGATAAATTAAAAAAAAAATCAAGAAATTAGAAAATCTGGTAATTGAAAAACTGATTAATAAAAAATTGGACAACAGAAAAATCGCAAAATTGCAAAATTATGAAACTAAAAAATCAAAAACTTGAAAAATTGAAAATACAAATTTTGAAAAATCTGATAATTCGAAAATTGTAATTCGTTAAAAACTAGAAAAAAACTACAAAAAGATAAAACTGAAATATCAAAAGAATTACGAAACTGAAAAAACGTATATTAAATTTGAAAAATTGGAAAATCAATTGTAACATAGAAAAATTACAAAATTGAAAAATCGAAAACTTTGAAAATTTAATGTCGTAATTTTCAAATATTAATTTAAAAATTAGAAAATAGAAACGACGAAATTCGGGTAATTGAAAAATCAAAAATTAAAAACTATGATATCTTTAAAAACGAAACATTGTAAAATAATCATTAAACTGAAAAATTGAAAACTTGAAAAATTGTAATCGAAATTTTGAGCAATTAAAATTTAAGAAATTGAAAATGTGTTAAATTATAAAATTGAAAAATTGGATATTCTATAACCGAAAAATTATTAAACTATAAAACTAAAAAACTGTAAAAATATAAAATTGAACACTGCAAAATTGATTAATTAAAAACAAAATCATTAAGAATCCAAAAATAGTAAAAATTTAAAATTTCAAAACCAAAAAACTATTAAATTGAAAAATTGGATACTTCTAAAACTGAAAAATTTTAAAATAATTAAGCTCAAAACTCAAAAACTTGAAAAATTGTTAAAGATTAGAAATGAAAAATTACAAAATTTTTAAACTGAAAAATCAAGGAATTGGAAATCTGCTAATTGAAAAAATACTCAAAATTTTATTGGTCAACTGAAAAGTAGAAAAATTCTAAAAATATAAAACATAAATTTAGAAAAATCGCAAAATTGCAAAGATATGAAAATGAAAATTCAAAAACTTGAAAAATAGAAAATTGAAATTTTGAAAAATCTGCTAATTGAAAAACTGATTCATTAAAAACTGGATAAATGAGAAATCGAAAAATTGTAAAAAGATGAAACTGAAAAATTAAAAATTTGTGAAATTACAAAACTGAAAAACTGGACATTGTATAATTAAACTGTAAAATTTGTGAAAATATAAAATTGAAAATCGAACAATTTTAAATTGAAATTTTGAAAAATGGGATGCGTAATTGTAAAATAGAAAAATTACAAAATTGAAAAACTGCGAAATTATGACAGTGGAAAATCGAAAACTTGAAAAATTTAAAATCGAAATTTTGTAAAATTAAAAATCAAAAATTGGAAAATTGAAAAAACGAAAAATTCTAAAATTGAAGGTTGAGAAACTGATTAATCGAACACTGAACGAAAACCGAAACATTGAGACATTCAAAAATTGTAAATATGTAAAATTAAATAATAAAAAAAATTAAACTAAAAACTTAAAAAAGTGAAAATTTTAAACAAATTTTGAACAAATAAAGATAAAAAAATTGAAAAATTGCAAAAACACAAAATGTTAAAAGGTGGATAATTGTAAACTCGGAAATTTATTAAACTGCAAAACAGAAAAATTGCAAATTATTAAATGAAAAATCACGCGTTTGAAAAATGAAAAATCGTAGGATTCCAAAATTGAAAAATCGAAAAATTGTAAAATAATTAAACTGAAAAATCAAAAACTTGATAAATTAAAACTGAAATTTTGAACAATTAAAATCGAAAAATTAGAAAAGTTTAACACCTTTAAGTTGAAAAACAAGAAAATCTGATAACTGTAAAATCAAAAATTGAAAAATTCAAAAATTTTGAAACCAAAAAATTCTTAAAATCAGATATCCAACAATTGAAAAATGGAAAATCAAAATGGGGAAACTTAATAATTGACAAATTGGTCTAAAGATGTTCAGACAGAACTTCCCTCGTCTCTGGAGTACAATACAACAAAGCCACCTTTTTGATATGTGTTTCTATTACAAAATTTTGTGATGACGTCAACATATTTTTTTTTTTCAAATTATAGAACTCAGCACTGATTCATAAACTACACATGTAGGAGCATGTTATGTGACGTCATCACATTGTGGTGGGGATGATTACACAAATGGATCGTACCTCTAGCCACCGCCTTGTCGGCATAACAAATAATGACGTTTTTATTCTGCGCCCAGATTTCGTTAAGCGTGGGACCTTTACCCACTTGAAGACCACCAGGAGGCAGCGCCAAATCCCCCAAATAATCGTACACCAGAGAGACGAACTTCTCGTGCAAAGTCGCGTTAAAATTGGAAGGGTACGGAAACCGATGGAAGTCCACCACGATGATCTCTTTAGGCGCTAGTTGTACGAACTTCCTGATTTCTTTGAAAATCTGGGCCACTTTGGTTATTCTGACTAGGTCGTGGTTGACGTAGAAGCTACAATCCAGACTTGAGTGACGTTAAAAATTGGGTGTAGTACTCACCCATCGCCATCGTAGTACCCTATTCTCAAATCCAGGTACCTTATTCCGTGCACCAGCTGCGTCCAGACGCTCCTATCCTGGTTGAGGATATAGTTTTCCAGGAATTTGGGCACGCCGTTGAAAGCTCCCGAATTGTGCGTCCCTGGGATGAACAGGTTGCCGATTTTCTGCGTCCCTATTTGCAGCCTGGAGACACAGAGGGACATGGTTGGACAATTCGGTCGTGTTTAATTAAGTCTTAGGGTCACATTTTGCTAACTACCTTTCGTAACTACCTATTATCATTCATCCACGTCGGTTGTATCCCTAGACACTTCGTGTCAATTATATTACTTCCTCTGAACGAGGCAATCCAGTAGGGAAAACAGTGAGGGCCTGGGTCTGCCCGGGTCAGGGTTTCCCGGTATTCCCAGTTTCCAGGAAGCCACGGGTGGCCGAACTTGATCTTGGTTTTGTAGTAGCCTGACGAAAAGTCAGAAGCGCGGATTTTGACTAGAGGAGGGGCTTCTTCCTGTGGCGGAAACGTCAAATACAACCAGAAACTTTGGAACGACTTACACTCCTGTCTTTCACGTCGTAGTTGTACAAAGCTACGTAGTCGGGTTTGAGGTTGTCGGGGTGGACACAGTCCGTGATCCAGTTAAGTTCCAGACTGGTGTCCTGTGACGAAGACACCGTCAAATACACCCTCCCGCACCGTCTCAGTCCGGAGTTCGCTAAAACCCAATTCAACCAACCACCACAAACCATCTGGGTCACTCACCGCCAAATTCCATGGGTGAACCTTCCCCAAATGGGACACAAAGGTGCAACAAAACAATAAGAGTGCCAATTCCGCAGTCCATTGTTCTCTTCGCCACTACACTTTCACAATAAAATGAGTCCTGTTTAGCAACACTAACGAGATAATTTCGATCAAAGCTACGTAGAGTTGATACCGAGAATATTCATTTATGAAAACCACACAGGTTGTTGGAGAATTTATGCGTCAGCATATTTGTTATTGACCATCATGAGCGCTCCGTGAGACTGTCGCTGACTGACGTTAGCCATCCGTTCATTTTAAATAAGTTAAATTATGTTAATTAAATACAGAGCAGTCGTCGGGCGAAGATACGAAGATAAAAAATGAAGACGGGTGTTCGGCTCGTGCGTTACGGGGTGTAAGCTGGAATTCCGTTAAAAAATTAAGAAAGATGTGGTGATTACGTGATTAAGGAGCCGACGAACTGTGATGATTAAAACGAAAACGGTTTTGTCGCCGCATTGTCTGAAGCGAAAATTAAATCACTTCTGGTAATTTGCAATTTAGAATAACAATTTGTTATTTCCTGCAATTAAACGAAAATTACTGGCTGACACATCTTGTTGCGGCTTTGTATCGAAATGTGGTGGAAAATTAGTAAATAATTGGTATGAAAAGTGTTATTATTTATTTGTAAGTCGAGGTTATGCTGAATATGTTAGGGAATTTTAATTTTATACAGTCTTTAATTTATTCTACGACGGAAACTCCGGCGTCGTTCATTTGTGTAATTCATCGTAATGCAAAAACTAGCAAAGGTTAATTTCTGCAGCCTTGAATTTTGCATAACCAATTTCGCTGAATAACTGGTTTGTTAATAACATACTCATTGAACGAGTTTGTTTTATTTATTAGAGAAGATGGATAAAACTAAATTAACGACTGAGTTGGCCATGAAAAACAAAGTCGCTGTCAGGAGGTTAACTGTGTTTGAGTTTTCTGGGTGAACTGGTTAACACATGTATGTTTTTATATTGTGTTGTTCGTTCCGCTTTGGGTTGGCAGTGTGCAAAACCAGTGAGCATGCATTGTGTATAAATGTCATTTAAATTTTATAAAACACTCTTCCACTTGTAGTTTATGAATCCGTGTTGAGTTTTACCCTAGCCGTCCTAATCTTTGGATAAAAATCAAAGTTGTGTAACTATTTTTCGAATTTTCGATTTTTCAATATCTCGATTTTTCAAATTCCGATTTCTCGATTGTTCGATATTTGGGTTTTAGGAGTTTGCAGTTGTTTCTCCAATTTTTTGAGTTTCACTTTTTTGATTTTTCAAATTTTCGACTTTTTAATTTTTGACCTTCCTAACTTTTCGATTTTTAGATTTCTAGATTTTTTGACTTTTAGATATTCGGATTTTTCGACTTTTCGATTTCTCGATTTTTCAACTTCCGATTTCTCAATTTTTCAGTTTTTCAGTTACAAGATTTTCCCGATTTCTAGATTATTTATTAACGATTTCTCAACTTTACAGTATTTCTTTACGATTTTTCAACTTTTCGATTTCAAAATTTTCCAATTTTTGGCGTTTCTAAATTTTCGATTTTTCGACTTTTCGATTTTTTAATTTTTGACCTTTCTAAGTTTTCGACTTTTCGATTTCTCGATTTTTCAACTTCTGATTTCCCAATTTTTCAGTTTTTCAGTTACAAGATTTTCTGGATTTCTAGATTATTTATTAACGATTTCTCAACTTTACAGTATTTCTTTACAATTTCTCAATTTTTCGATTTCAAAGTTTTCCAATTTTTGGCGTTTCTAAATTTTCGATTTTTCGATTAATCGATTTTTCGCCTTTCCAATTTTTTAATTTTTGACCTTTCTAAGTTTTCGATTTTTCGATTTTTTGATTTCTAGATTTTTTGACTTTTAGATATTCGGATTTTTCGACTTTTCGATTTCTCGATTTTTCAACTTCCGATTTCTCAATTTTCCAGTTTTTCAGTTACAAGATTTTCCCGATTTCTAGATTATTTATTAACGATTTCTCAACTTTGCAGTATTTCTTTACGATTTTTCAATTTTTCGATTTCAAAATTTCCCAATTTTTGGCGTTTCTAAATTTTCGATTTTTCGATTAATCGATTTTTCGACTTTTCGATTTTTTAATTTTTGACCTTTCTAAGTTTTCGATTTTTCGATTTCTAGATTTTTTGACTTTTAGATATTCGTACTTTTCGACTTTTCGATTTCTCGATTTTTCAACTTCCGATTTCTCAATTTTTCAGTTTTTCAGTTACAAGATTTTCCGGATTTCTAGATTATTTATTAACGATTTCTCAACTTTACAGTATTTCTTTACGATTTTTCAATTTTTCGATTTCAAAGTTTTCCCATTTTTGGCGTTTCTAAATTTTCGATTTTTCGATTAATCGATTTTTCGAATTTTCGATGTCTGTTCTTTCGTGTTTCAATTTTTCAGTTTTCAATTGTTCGCTTTGACAATGCTCAATTTTGCGACTTACTTTCTGGATTTTTCGATATTTCAGTTTTTGAATTTTTTAAGATTGTCATTCTATTTTTCCATTTTTAGATTTTTTAATTTTTCGATTTTTCGATTCTTCAATTTTTCGATATTTTAATCTTGCGATTATTTTAAATTTTAGATTTTTCGATTTTTTATTTCTTCAATTTTCTACTTGCCAATTCAATTTTGATTTTCCAATTTTTGGATTTTCCGATTTCTATGTTTTTCGATGTTTCCATTTTTCCATTTTTCAATTTTTCGTTTTAAGTATAGACTTTTGGATTCATCGAGATTTCAATTTTTTGATTGTTTAGTTTCCTGATTTTTTTCATTTTTTTTTTTGTATTTGTAATACTTCGATTTTTCGGCTTTTAGATTTTTAAAAATATTCGATTTTCCCAGAATTCAACATTTCAATTTTCGGAATTTTTCAATTTCCAAATTTTTCAGTTTTTCGATATTTTAATTTTGCCATTTTTTAAATTTTCAATTTTTTTATTTTTGTGATGTTTCAGTTGCTCGATCTTTGTATTTTACATATTTCAGTTTTACGATTTTTCAAAATTTCGATTTCTCGATTAAGCGATTCTTGATTTCTCGATTTTTTGATTTTTCGATTTTTCATCTTTTTGATGTATCAATTTTTAGATTTTTAAAATTTTCTATCTTCGTATTTCCTATTTTTCAATTTCTCGATTTTTCACTTTTTCTTCGATTTTTCAGTTTGATTTTCCGAGTTACCGATTTATCAGTTTTTCGATATCAGTTTTGTCAATTCAACACTGTGATTTTTCAATTTTTCGATTTTTTGAAGTTTCCATTTCTGGATTTTTCAACTTTTCAATTCCTTTTTCGATAGTTTAATTTTTTGACTTTAGATTTTTAAATTTTTCGATTTTTCGGTTTTTCAATTTTTCGATTATTCTATTTTCGACTGCTGGACGCCCTGATTTTTTAGTTTTTTAGTTCTTCAGTTTTCGATTTTTCAGTATTTCAATTTTTTGATTTTTCATATTTTGGATGTTTCAATTTTTTGATTTTTAAAATTTTCGATTTTTCGACTTTTCGATTTTCAGTTTTGCGATTTTTCACTTTTTCGAATTTTTGAGTTACCGATTTATCAGTTTTGGGATTCTTCAACATTGCGATTCTTCCATTTTTCAATTTTTTGTTTCGATTTTTCAGTTTTTTCAATTTTTCGATTTTTTGAAGTTTCCATTTCTGGATTTTTCAACTTTTCGATTCCTTTTTCGATATTTTTATTTTTTGATTTTTTGATTTTATCTAGATTTTTAGATTTCTCAATTTTTCGATTTTTCATATCTTCAATTTTCTGTTTGTCAGTTCAATTTAGATTTTTCAATTTTTTGATGTTTAAATTTTTCGATTCCTTTTTCGACATTTTAATTTTTCGATTTTTTAAATTTTAGATTTTCAATTTGTTTTCAATTTTCAGTATTTTAAATTTTATATTTTTCAATTTTTTTGATACTTCAATTTCCTGATCCTTTGAGTTTTCGGATTTTCAATTATCAGTTTTTAGATTTTTCGTTTTTCAAAGTTTTTGATTTTTCATATTTCGATACTTCAGTCATGGGATTTTCCGTTTTTCGATTCTTCAGGTTTTCTCGATTTTTTAAAAATTTTGATTTCTCAAATTTGCAATATTTCAGTTTTACAATTTTTCAGTTTTTCGATACAGAAGTTTTCGAATTTGGTGTTTCTAAACTTTCGATTTTTCGATTTCTTTTTTTTTGACTTTTCGAATTTTAGATTTTTCAATTTTTATGTTTTTTCAAGTTTCCATTTCTGGATTTTTCAACTTTTCAATTTCTTATTCGCTGTTTTAATTTTTCGTTTTTTGATTTTTAAAATTTTCGTTTATTCGACTTTTCGATTTTCGGCATTCTTCAACATTGCGATTTTTCGATTTTTCGATTTTTCATTTTCCCAATTCTTCAAGATTTCAACTTTGGGATTTTTTAATTTCTCGATTTTTCAAATTTTCGATTCTGTAATGTTTGGATTTTTCAGTTTTTCGGTTTTTAAAATTTTACATTTTTCGATTTTATAATTTTTTTATGTTTCGATTTAGCTATTTTTTAATTTTGAATACATCAAGTTTTCGATTCTCCAATTTCTCAAGATTTCAATTTTTTAATTTTTCAATTTTTTGATTTTTAAATTTTTAGGCTTTTAGGTTTATCGATTTTTAGTTTTTTCACTTCTTTGAGTTTTCTGTTTTTCAATTTTTCGAATTTTTAAATTTAGATGTTTCAATTTTTTATTTTCCATTTTTCGGCTACTCTGTTTTAGATTTTCGGTTTTTCCATTTTTAGATTTTAATTTTTCGATTACTGGATTTATCGAGATTTCGATGTTTCAATTTTGTGATTGTTCAGTTTCTTGAATTTTCAATTTTTAAATTTTTTGATTTTTTGGAATTATGGATTTTTTAAATTTTATCTTTTTCATTTTTTTTTCATGTTCCAATTTCTTCATCTTTCGATTTTTCGAATTTAGAACTCAGTTTTCCAATTTTTCGTTTTTTATTGAAAGTTTTTTATTTTTCAATTTTCGATTTTTCAGTTTTTATATTTTTTTGATTTGTCATGTTTTTGATGTTTCTATTTTTTGATTTTAAAAGGTTTTTCTGATGTTTCGATTTTTCGATTTTTCAATTTTTCGATTCCGTTTTCGACATTTTAACTTTTCGATTTTTTAAACTTTGGATTTTCCAATTTTTCAATTTATTTTCAATTTTCAATATTTTAAATTTTATATTTTTTCGATTGTTTTTGATGTTTCAATTTCTTCATCCTTCTATTTTTTTTTTCAATTTTTCGTTTTCGAAAGATTTTGAATTTTCAATTTTTGCGATTTTCGATTTTGACTTTCCTTGACTTCATTTTTCGATACTTCAATCATGGGATTTCTCGTTTTTCGATTCTTCAGTTCTGCTCAATTTTTTAAAAATTTCGATTTCTCAAATTTGCGATAATTCAATTTTACTATTTTTCAAGTTTTCAATTTTTCGATTTTTGGTGTTTCTAAATTTTCGATTTTTCGATTTCTCGATCTTCTGACTTCGACTTTTAGATTTTTAGAATTTCCAAATTTTAGATTTTTCAGTTTTTCGATTTTTAGATTTTTCACTACTATAATTTTTCTGTTTTTCAATTTTTCGAATTTTTAAATTTAGATGTTTCAATTTTCGATTTTACATTTTTCGACTTCTTGGTTTCAGATTTTCGGTTTTTCCATTTTAGATTCTTCGATTGCTGGATTTATCGAGGTTTCGATGTTTCAATTTTGTGATTGTTCAGTTTCTTGATTTTTCAACATTTCAATTTTTTGATTTTTTTTGGAATTATCGATTTTTTAAATTTTATCTTTTTCAATTTTTTTCATGTTTCAATTTCATGATCTTTCGATTTTTCGAATTTTGTAATCTCAGTTTTCCAATTTTTCGTTTTTGAAAGTTTTTGATTTTTCAATTTTCGATTTTTCAGTTTTATGATTTATCAATTTTTCGATCCTTCAACTTTTCGATTTTTGGGGTTTCTAAATTTTCGATTTTTCAATTGTTTATTGTTGCTTGCCGTCTCCATTTTTCAGTTTTTCGATTTTTCAGTTACTTTTTTTATTTTTCTTTTTGTTGATTTTTCGACTTTTTGATTTCTCGGTCTTTGAATTTTTTCTTCGATTTTTCAATTTTTCGATTCCGTTTTTGACATTTTAACTTTTGGATTTTTAAACTTTAGACTTTACAATTTTTCAAATTCTTTTTAATTTTCGATATTTTAAATTTTATATTTTTCGATTTTTTTGACGTTTCAATTTCCTTCGAGTTTTCGAATTTTGAATTATGAGTTTTTCAATTTTTCGTTTTTGAGTTTTTGAATTTTCGATTTTTCAGTTTTTCGATTTTTACTTTACTTGACTTCATTTTTCGATTCTTCAATTTTTCGAATTTTGGTGTTTCTAAATATTCGATTTTTCGATTTCTAGATCCTCTGACTTTTCGACTTTTAGATTTTTCGATGTTTCAAATTTTTGTTGTTGCTTGACCTCTTGATTTTTCAGTTTTTCAGTTCTTCAGTTTTTCGATTTTCCACTTTTTATTTTTTTTAATTTTTCATGTTGTCGATTTTAAAAATTTTAGATTTTTCAACTTCGATTTCTCGGTTTTTCAATTTTTCTTCGATTTTTCAGTTTTTCGATCTCTTTTTGTTCTTCAAGATTTTGTCTTCTATATTTTAATTAAAACACTCAAAATATTATCAACAATTTATTTTCTCTTTTACAATAACTCAACTACCTGTAAAACCACACAAAATCACGTATAAAAATTAGTCAACCTTTTAAAATTACTCTCGATTGCCACATTTATTATATCATTACCCGTAAAAAAATCAGTCGCCACTATATTCAAATTAGCCGACCTGTTGTTTTGTCGCACCCAATCAGAGAGCTCCCTGTTCACCATAACAGCCAGATCCTTCAAATTCCGGGTCACGTGTTTCAAAACCGAAACGTAACTCGGCGTCAGTTCGGCCATCAAAACCCTCATGGGATTCCCCGGAGCCGCCGACTCACTCACGTACTTGACATACGTTTCAAGATCTTGAACTTTCTGAACATCCCCCCAGTCTCTGGCCACAGAAGGCCAGAGAAAAGTAGCCACTACCAACCAAACAAATCAACAACAACAACAAAACTAAATTATAGAGCTAGATTACCTCTACTCATTTCTTTATTTCTGTGTGCTATTACGACGCGCTGCTTAGTCAACCAAAATTCCTTCAATTTAGGCCCTCTTGTGTGCGTCATTCTATAGAACGGGTATATCAAGTCCCCAAAAACGCTCTGTATCATCCTTACCACTTCATTGTGATATTGTATTTTAAAATCATTGGGGTAAGGAAATCTGTGGAAGTCCAAAATGATCACTTCTTTGGGTGATTTTCTGATGAAGGTGGCCGCGCTTTGGAGTTCTGGTAGGAGTTCGGTGCACTTGATGAAAGCGTGGTTGATGTACAATCTAGAACTTCCATAGAAGTCAGAATATCGTTTTTTGGGACTTTTATTTACCCGTCTGATGTGTTGCCATAGCGTCCCACTCGTATGTCAAAATATCGAATACCATAGACCAGCTGTTGCCATATACTCTTGTCCTGGTTTAAGACATAGTTCCGGATTAGTAGAGGTGCGCCTTTCCAAGCACCTGAATTGTGAGTCCCTGGTATCATTAAGTCCCCGATTCGTAAGTCCCCGAAGCTATGGTTAATGATTTTAATAGGAGTTTTTGCTGCTTTGTACGTAAATATTAATTACTTTGACATCCACGTCGGCTGAATCGAAAGACATTGAGAGTGAATTATTTTATCACCTTTAGCACTCGCTATGTAATAGTCGAAACACCCAGCGTTTAAATCCGGGTTTGAGTTATCTTCGGTCCAGTTTCCAGGAAAAGGGGCATCTTTGAGGGTGAAGGGCGTCTCGTGGTACCCTCTGAAAACCGATCTGGGAAGAATAGTGTAAAGGACTTGGGCGTTGGGCTAAAACTATATAATTAGAGGTTTGAAACGTCCAGAAGTGACCTACGTTGGTCCTTATGTCATTCAAAGTAAGCAAAATCGTGTCAGGAGGGTCATCACAGTTGAAGTTCCAGTTCAGTTGGATGTTCTTTTTTTTGTTTGGTGATTGGGTTAGGTATAGTTGTCCACAAGGATTAGTATTTTCTGGGTACAAATTTTTTTTTTTTTTTTTTTGGTCAAGGTATAGGTGTGAACTTACCTTTTTGTGTTTGTGAGTTTGCTTGGTCCGCGATTTGAAGAAACAGGATCAGTGGAACGAGTAACATTATTGGTTGGATCACAGCATCGTTATGTCTCTGACTAAGTTTAAATTATTCGTTAAAACTAAATAAAATAGTTACAGCGAAAATTGCTCTTACTTGTTAATTGCTGAAGCGTGTTTCCACAACTGAAACTTTCAATGATCACGCTTTGAATATTTATGCGTTTGTTTGGGCCGAAAAAATGGTCATCAGGGAAATCACGACTGTTCAAATTGGAGATTTACATATTCACAATGAAGTTACATCAATTTGGAGCTGTAACAACAGCTGGAGCGAATATTATATTGTAATTTATTTAAAATTGGGGCTAATTCGTCTGAAAAACGTACCTTCGTGACGAACACGCGCACAATGCCGGGGTTGACACAGTTCACTGAGTTTTAGGTAATTTACGGCGCATTTTCGCAATCTTTAAATATTTACTCGTGTTTTCGTGTCAACTGATTTTAGTGGTTATCTAGTGTGTTTAAGACTAGTTAGAACTTTCACTGTGGCGGCTGGGAGAAAGTTTTGTTTTCGCACAATTAAAAAAGGGACACGGGTAGGTTTGAAGTCGGTGTGTTAAATTTTTGTCGTTCTTTTATTGATTGATAAAATGCTGGTCGTCGAAGTTTTTTTTTACAAAAAAGTTAATCGTGCTGTGTAAAGAAATTAAACCCTGTTCAGTTATTTTAGTCAGTTTTTGATTTTTGTTTTCTACTTCCAGAACAACTAGATACTTTTTAATCAGTTTCAAACCTACTCATCTCGACACTGATAACAACAAACCTTGGAGATCCCTTCTCAGATAAGTCTGATTTTGGCAAATGGATACCTTCTTCAAATTTCGCCGAAATTTTGACATTTTCGAAACCTAACTGAGTACATTTTCTTGTAGATCTCGAGCCCTAGAACTCACTTCCGGCCTCGATTCTTTGATAGCTGCAACCGTTTTTCCAGAATCGACGGTTGAAATTTCGAAATTTTTGAAATTTCGATAAATTATGCATTTCGTACCGATTTCTTCGAAAATGTCGCTCCGCGACCATCAACAGGCTATATTTTTGGAATCAGCACGTCGAAATCTACGTCCCTGAATTTTTTCAGAATTTTTAGACGAGTTTTTTAAAAATGAAAATTTTCCAATGGTCCCCCCTTCTTCAAATTTCGGCGAAATTTTGTCATTTTCGAAACCTAACTGAGTACATTTTCTTGTAGATTTCGAGCCGTAGAACTCACTTCCGGCCTCGATTCTTTGATAGCTGCAACCGTTTTTCCAGAATCGACGGTTGAATTATCGAAATTTTTGAAATTTCGATAAATTAGGCATTTCGTACCGATTTCTTCGAAAATGTCGCTCCGCGACCATTAACAGGCCATATTTTTGGAATCAGCACGTCGAGATCTACGTCCCTGAATTTTTTCAGAATATTTAGACGAGTTTTTTAAAAGTGAAAATTTTCCAATGGTCCCCCCTTCTTCAAATTTCGGCGAAATTTTGACATTTTCGAAACCTAACTGAGTACATTTTCTTGTAGATTTCGAGCCGTAGAACTCACTTCCGGCCTCGATTCTTTGATAGCTGCAACCGTTTTTCCAGAATCGACGGTTGAAATATCGAAATTTTTGAAATTTCGATAAATTAGGCATTTCGTACCGATTTCTTCGAAAATGTCGCTCCGCGACCATTAACAGGCCATATTTTTGGAATCAGCACGTCGAGATCTACGTCCCTGAATTTTTTCAGAATTTTTAGACGAGTTTTTTAAAAGTGAAAATTTTCCAATGGTCCCCCCTTCTTCAAATTTCGGCGAAATTTTGTCATTTTCGAAACCTAACTGAGTACATTTTCTTGTAGATTTCGAGCCGTAGAACTCACTTCCGGCCTCGATTCTTTGATAGCTGCAACCGTTTTTCCAGAATCGACGGTTGAAATATCGAAATTTTTGAAATTTCGATAAATTATGCATTTCGTACCGATTTCTTCGAAAATGTCGCTCCGCGACCATCAACAGGCTATATTTTTGGAATCAGCACGTCGAAATCTACGTCCCTGAATTTTTTCAGAATTTTTAGACGAGTTTTTTAAAAGTGAAAATTTTCCAATGGTCCCCCCTTCTTCAAATTTAGTCGAAATTTTGTCATTTTCGAAACCTAACTGAGTACATTTTCTTGTAGATTTCGAGGCGTAGAACTCACTTCCGGCCTCGATTCTTTGATAGCTGCAACCGTTTTTCCAGAATCGACGGTTGAAATATCGAAATTTTTGAAATTTCGATAAATTAGGCATTTCGTACCGATTTCTTCGAAAATGTCGCTCCGCGACCATCAACAGGCTATATTTTTAGAATCAGCACGTCGAGATCTACGTCCCTGAATTTTTTCAGAATTTTTAGACGAGTTTTTTAAAAGTGAAAATTTTCCAATTTAGTCGAAATTTTGACATTTTCGAAACCTAACTGAGTACATTTTTCTTGTTGATTTCGAGGCGTAGAACTCACTTCCGGCCTCGATTCTTTGATAGCTGCAACCGTTTTTCCAGAATCGACGGTTGAATTATCGAAATTTTTGAAATTTCGATAAATTAGGTATTTCGTACGGATTTTCCCGAAAATGTCGCTCCGCGACCATCAACAGGCTATATTTTTGGAATCAGCACGTCGAGATCTACGTCCCTGAATTTTTTCAGAATTTTTAGACGAGTTTTTTAAAAGTGAAAATTTTCCAATGGTCCCCCCTTCTTCAAATTTCGTCGAAATTTTGAAATTTTCGAAACCTAACTGAGTACATTTTCTTGTAGATTTCGGGGCGTAGAACTCACTTTCGGCCTCGATTCTTTGATAGCTGCAACCGTTTTTCCAGAATCGACAGTTGAAATAACGAAATTTTTGAAATTTCGATAAATTAGGCATTTCGTACCGATTTCTTCGAAAACGTCGCTCCGCGACCATCAACAGGTTATATGTTTGGAATCAGCACGTCGAGATCTACGTCCCTGAATTTTTTCAGAATTTTTTGACGAGTTTTTTAAAAGTGAAAATTTTCCAATGGTCCCCCCTTCTTCAAATTTCGTCGAAATTTTGACATTTTCGAAACCTAACTGAGTACATTTTCTTGTAGATTTCGAGCCGTAGAACTCACTTCCGGCCTCGATTCTTTGATAGCTGCAACCGTTTTTCCAGAATCGACGGTTGAATTATCGAAATTTTTGAAATTTCGATAAATTAGGTATTTCGTACGGATTTTCCCGAAAATGTCGCTCCGCGACCATCAACAGGCTATATTTTTGGAATCAGCACGTCGAGATCTACGTCCCTGAATTTTTTCAGAATTTTTAGACGAGTTTTTTAAAAGTGAAAATTTTCCAATGGTCCCCCCTTCTTCAAATTTAGTCGAAATTTTGACATTTTCGAAACCTAACTGAGTACATTTTCTTGTAGATTTCGGGGCGTAAAACTCACTTCCGGCCTCGATTCTTTGATAGCTGCAACCGTTTTTCCAGAATCGACGGTTGAAATATCGAAATTTTTGAAATTTCGATAAATTAGGCATTTCGTACCGATTTCTTCGAAAATGTCGCTCCGCGACCATCAACAGGCTATATTTTTGGAATCAGCACGTCGAGATCAACGTCCCTGAATTTTTTCAGAATTTTTAGACGAGTTTTTTAAAAGAGAAAATTTTCCAATGGTCCCCCCTTCTTCAAATTTCGTCGAAATTTTAACATTTTCGAAACCTAACTGAGTACATTTTCTTGTAGATTTCGAGCCGTAGAACTCACTTCCGGCCTCGATTCTTTGATAGCTGCAACCGTTTTTCCAGAATCGACGGTTGAAATATCGAAATTTTTGAAATTTCGATAAATTAGGCATTTCGTACCGATTTCTTCGAAAATGTCGCTCCGCGACCATCAACAGGCTATATTTTTGGAATCAGCACGTCGAGATCAACGTCCCTGAATTTTTTCAGAATTTTTAGACGAGTTTTTTAAAAGAGAAAATTTTCCAATGGTCCTCTCTTCTTCAAATTTCGTCGAAATTTTAACATTTTCGAAACCTAACTGAGTACATTTTCTTGTAGATTTCGAGCCGTAGAACTCACTTCCGGCCTCGATTCTTTGATAGCTGCAACCGTTTTTCCAGAATCGACGGTTGAAATATCGAAATTTTTGAAATTTCGAAACATTAGGTATTTCGTACGGATTTTCCCGAAAATGTCGCTCCGCGACCATCAACAGGCTATATTTTTGGAATCAGCACGTCGAGATCTACGTCCCTGAATTTTTTCAGAATTTTTAGACGAGTTTTTTAAAAGTGAAAATTTTCCAATGGTCACCCCTTCTTCAAATTTCGTCGGAATTTTGACATTTTCGAAACCTAACTGAGTACATTTTCTTGTAGATTTCGGGCCGTAGAACTCACTTCCGGCCTCGATTATTTGATAGATGCAACCGTTTTTCCAGAATCGACGGTTGAATTATCGAAATTTTTGAAATTTCGATAAATTAGGCATTTCGTACCGATTTCTTCGAAAATGTCGCACCGCGACCATCAACAGGCTATATTTTTGGAATCAGCACGGTGAGATCTACGTCCCTGAATTTTTTCAGAATTTTTTGACGAGTTTTTTAAAAGTGAAAATTTTCCAATGGTCCCCCCTTCTTCAAATTTCGTCGAAATTTTAACATTTTCGAAACCTAACTGAGTACATTTTCTTGTAGATTTCGAGCCGTAGAACTCACTTCCGGCCTCGATTCTTTGATAGCTGCAACCGTTTTTCCAGAATCGACGGTTGAAATATCGAAATTTTTAAAATTTCGATACATTAGGTTTTTCGTACGGATTTTCCCGAAAATGTCGCTCCGCGACCATCAACAGGCTATATTTTTGGAATCAGCACGTCGAGATCTACGTCCCTGAATTTTTTCAGAATTTTTAGACGAGTTTTTTAAAAGTGAAAATTTTCCAATTTAGTCGAAATTTTGACATTTTCGAAACCTAACTGAGTACATTTTTCTTGTTGATTTCGAGGCGTAGAACTCACTTCCGGCCTCGATTCTTTGATAGCTGCAACCGTTTTTCCAGAATCGACGGTTGAATTATCGAAATTTTTGAAATTTCGATAAATTAGGTATTTCGTACGGATTTTCCCGAAAATGTCGCTCCGCGACCATCAACAGGCTATATTTTTGGAATCAGCACGTCGAGATCTACGTCCCTGAATTTTTTCAGAATTTTTAGACGAGTTTTTTAAAAGTGAAAATTTTCCAATGGTCCCCCCTTCTTCAAATTTCGTCGAAATTTTGAAATTTTCGAAACCTAACTGAGTACATTTTCTTGTAGATTTCGGGGCGTAGAACTCACTTTCGGCCTCGATTCTTTGATAGCTGCAACCGTTTTTCCAGAATCGACAGTTGAAATAACGAAATTTTTGAAATTTCGATAAATTAGGCATTTCGTACCGATTTCTTC